ACATTGAGGTTATAGCTGAGGATTCCCTGCCCCAAACACTGGTGATATATAACTTGTTCTGTAAGTACTGTCCGTTGCTTAGAAATATTAATTTTATCTTTCTTGGGACAGATGAAAGCATGAACAACTGCTCACATCCATTTATTTTGGCTTATGTTGTAGTATGTCCTGTGCCAATGGGTAAAATAATTTTTAACTCTGCTACTTTACCACTCTGTCACTTGGTTATAATCCCCTATGCTGCACTTCCTAATGTGTTTTCATGTGCAACTTCCTTTAGATTGTAAGTTCTTTTGAACAGATTCTTCATTATTATTTTATTATTTATATAGTGCCAGCAAGTTCCGTAGCGATGTACAATGGGTGGAATAACAGTCCGTAATTGTAAACAGACACATAGGACACACAAGAACAGAGAAATTGAGGGCCCTGCTCAATTAGCTTACATGCTAGAGGGCGTCGTGTATCGTGACACAAAGGGTAAGGGTATCAAAGTAGATTGCTAGAAAAGTATTCACTGGGGGCAATAGGAGGTTATGTTTGACAGTTGCATGAGAGGAGTTAAGATGTGGGGGATAAAAAGCTGTTAATTTAATTGATATGCTTTTCTGAAGAAGTTAGTTTTTTCATTATTTTTTGAAGGAATGGAGACTGGGTGAAAATCTCACAGAGGAGGGGAGGGAGTTCCACAGGAACGGTGCAGCCCTGGAGAAGTCTTGAAGGCGAGCATCAGATGTTGAAGTACGGATAGAGAATAGACGTAGGTGAGAGAGATCAGGAGAGGACAGGTAGATTTGTGAGTCATCCGCATATAAATAATAATGGACTACTTCCTGTCAAAGTTTATTATAATTTGATATAACCACTCTCCCCTTTATAACATTGTAAAGTGCTGCAGAACATGTTAGTGCTATAACAATACCAATAATAATAATTAGAATAATAGCACAATGTATAGATGACATTTACAGCACTTCATAATGAAGCTTTATCATCAATGTCATGACAGCACCACTTTAATTAGTGTTATTACTGATATTAACATCAAAAGAGTAGGATAATATTTTATAGTAACATCATATTATAACTAGAGTTGAGCGGACACCTGGATGTTCGGGTTCGCCCGAACTTCGTCAAAAAGCTCAAGTTCGGGCCCGAACTTGACCCCGAACCCCAACCCCATTGAAGTCATGGGGGACACGAATTTTTAGGCACTAAAATGCCTCTAACAAAGTCCTGGAAAGGGCTAGAGGGCTGCAAAAGGAAGTAAAATGGGGGTAAGAGTAGGACAAGTGTGTGGATAGGGAAATCACTTAAAATAACATAAAATACCTAAAAATTAAAAATACAGCTGAGCCATAAAATAGCACTAGATGGAATCTTTGATTTTAGCTTTGAAAGAACATAAATCAAAATCTAAAGCATGGCTGTCAGGAGGATCACCAGAATTATCCATTTGAGAGAGGGTTGGAGTGCAGGGTATTCTCTTTCATTGTTCAAACTGAACTCAACTCCTGATGCATGGAGAAAAGGCCTTCACAAGCCGCTGCTATTGTGTACATAGTTTATACTAAGTGACCCATAGGTTGAGGAGGCAGTGACTGTGGCGGTGTACGTGGAAGCGGCGGTGGAGGAGGAGGAGGTAGCCAACACTGTTTTTTTATGTTTAGTTTTTTTTGTTTTTTTTAATTGGGGTAGCCCCCAAAATATTAGGACATATAAAAAAATAAACATTTGCGGCCTGCGGTGCATTTCTTGCAGTCCAATAATGCCATCAGGTTTTTAAAACTGTCCGTCTCCACCATTTCATAGGCCAGGAATTTTGAAATGCTGGCATTCAGGGCCAGGGATCGCGGGTGGGTAGAGGGGTACTTCCTCTTTCTCTCCAGTGTTTGGGAGATGGACAGCTGAACGCTTCCATGGGACAGTGTGGAGATGCTTGGGGACGGTGGTGGACATGGTGGCGTTGTTGCCACATCCTCTGTTTGTGGGTGGCAGGTGCCACTGTCACTCCAAAGGTGGAGGAAGAGGCCGAGACAGCAGCAGAAGAGGGAGCAGGAGGAGCCTTTCTTGGTTTTTGAGTTGCTTACTCCATTGCAGCTCGTGCTTTGCATGTAGATGCCTGGTCATGCAGGTTGTGCTCAGGTTTAGAACGTTTATGCCTCACTTCAGGCTCTGATTGCACAGCGTGCAAACTACTAGTGTCTTGTCAGCACATTGTCTGAAGAACTGCCACGCCAGGGAATTCCTTGGAGCTGGCTTTGGTGTGCTCGGTCCCTGGGTGCGGTGGGCAGTAGCAGGCGTACTGTCTAGGGGACGGCCGCTCCGCTTTTGCACCCTGCTCTAGGAGGAGGAGGTGGATGTGGAGTAGGAGGTTAAGGAGGCGGTGACCATCGCGGTGTAGGTGGAAGCGGCGGTGGAGGCAGAGGAGGTAGCCAACACTTTTTTATTTGGGTTTTTTTTTTTTTTATTGGGGTAGCCACCAAAATATTGGGACATATAAAAAAAAGAAACATTTGCGGCCTGCGGTGCATTTCTTGCAGTCCAATAACACCATCAGGTTTTCAAAACTGTCTGTATCCACCAGATGGAATGACAGCATTTCAAAGGCCAGGAATTTTGAAATGCTGGCATTCAGGGCCAGGGATCGCGGGTGGGTAGGGGGGTACTTCCTCTTTGTCTCCAGTGTTTAGGAGATGGATAGCTGAACGCTTCCATGGGACAGTGTGGAGATGCTGGACAATTGTGTACCTGGCCTATGCTGGTGCAGGAACCCACCCTCCGAGCCACTTGTGAATGACTGGCCTGATAACCGTGAAAATAACCCCTCTTCATCCTCCTTTTCCTCCTGTGCCACATCCTCTTCCATCATCACCCAAAGTGTTTTTTCAAGGAGACATAGAAGCGGGATAGTAAGGCTGAGAACATTGTCATCGGCAGTGGCCATGTTGGTGGAGTACTCGAAACAGCGCAACAAGGCACACAGGTCTCGCACGGAGGCTCCCTCATTGGTGGTGAAATGGTGCTGTTCCGCAGAGCGACTGACCCATGCATGCTGCAGCTGACACTCCACTATCGCCTGCTACCACCTTGTGGGCACGTCGCATATGAGGAGGTAAGCATGAAGGCCGAAGTTACGCTGCAGCGCTGACAGGTGAGCAGCAGCAGGGTGAGAACGCCGAAAGTGCGCACAGATGCCCCGCACTTTCTGCTGCAGCTCTGATATATCTGGGTAGTTTTTCAGGAATTTCTGCACCACCAAATTCAGCACATGCGCCAGGTAAGGAATGTGTGTCAAACTGGCTAGGCCCAGATCTGCTACGAGAGTTTGCCCAATATCGCACAGCACCAGGCCGGGCTTGAGGCTCAGGGGCAACAACCACTCATCGGTCTGTTGTTCCATGCCTGTCCACAACTCCTGTGCTGTGTGGGGTTTTTCCCCCAAACATATGAGTTTTTAAAACAGCCTGCTGTCGTTTCCCCCTGGCTGTGCTGAAGTTGGTGGTGAAGGTGTTACGCTGACCGGATGAGGAGGTGGTAGAGGAGGAGGAAGTGGAGTAGGAGGCAACAGGAGGCAAAGCTGTGTACCCAAATAAAGATTGTCAAACGTTGTATCCTGGAACTGTGTTCCATCCGGTTACTGGGGAAATGGGTCTGACCTATTCTAATCAAAGGGGATAACCATCGGTTACCTAGGTCCCGCTTCAATTGGTGGCAAGCGGCGGGATCCCATGTCCCTGCCAACAGACCCATGGACTACAGTGCTCTAAAGCGACCTACACTGCAGGACTTGTGTGGATCCAGAGGAATAACGCCTGGTGGGCGTAACAAGGCCAAATTGACTGCTGCGCTCATGAAGGATGACCAGGCATGCAGTGAGGCAACGGACCCCAGCTAGGTGAGGAGGAGGTGGACCGGCGCCTGGCATATTACCGAGAGCCACCCTCAGATGAGATCGTCAGCAGGACCTTTTTGGAGGTGCAAGCCTATGTCCTTGCCAATAGACAGAGTGTACCGCAGGCCGCAAATGTACTATTTAGCGCAAAAAAGTGTGATTTTTTTTTTTAAACCAACAATGTAACAGTTGTAATTAAGGGTTATATTGGACTGCAAGAAATGCTGTACGCAAATGTACTATTTAGCACCAAAAAAATTGCAGTATTTAAAAATGCCTAGATGTTGCCCACTGAGCTACCAGAACAGGATTAAAGTAATGTGCCTGGCACACATGCAGTTTCAAGTGCACTGCACTCTCTGTGGCACTGGGCTCAGGGCAGGGTACAAAAATGTAGTATTGCATCCACACAAAAATAATCGCTGTAGTTTGCAGATTCAACACCAGAATTCTTTCCTAATCTGTCCCTCACAGCTGCAGCATCCTGTCCCTACACTAATAAGAGCTCATGTGACGTGCGGCGCTACGTGACTCCAGCTTATATATAGAGGCTGGGTCACATGCTGCACTGGCCAATGAAAGCCATGACATTAGTAGGCATGGCTGTGATGGCTTCTAAGGGCAAATGAGTCAAACGCTTGTTGATTGGCTGCCCTGCAGCCTTTCAAAACGCGCCATTAAATCGCCGAACACCGCACTCCAACCCGAACATACACCGATATGTCCGTGTTCAGGTCCGGGGTCCAAAAATCGTAATGTTCGGTACGAACCCAAACTTTACAGTCCGGGTTCGCTCAACTCTAATTATAACATTTATAACATATTTCTTGCCATTTAGTTAAACCCCTTAAGGACCAAACTTCTGGAATAAAAGGGAATCATGACATGTCACACATGTCATGTGTCCTTAAGGGGTTAAATTCAGATAATACAATTATTATGTGCAACATTAACAGTAAGGTAAATCAAGGTTAATGGCCCTTGAAATAGTATACTCACTTTGACTATGACATCATACATCAAATATATTTTATGTGTGAAAAAAAGAACACTTTGAGGCTCATTGGTCTTAACGTGATCAGATAAATGTTGAGTTTTACGGATTTCAATAAAAGTATGTGTATGCATGCACACGCGCGCACACACACACACACACACACACAGGCACACACAAAAGTCTATATCACTTGTTTTAAACTTAGTTTAAAAATTGATATATGCATATAATTAACATTCTATATCCAGTCTACATTCTTGTATTGGTATTATTTTAACTATAATAAACTCTCGGTGTGAACTCACAGCTAATTGTCTGCTTATACACACGAGATTATATAGATGTGTATATTCAATAAATGAAACACATTTAAAAATACATAAACTTGCATGAATCAAAAAGATACAGTATTGCATCTATGTATCTTTCAATCAGGGCAGGATAAATATTGGATAAAAAATGTTTTATGGATTTAGAAACAACGAGGATACTACACAATGAACACTTTGCGTTATGATAATAGATTTGGAAGAACATGCAGTTCAGAAATCAGATAAGATCGCAGAACAATGCAATGAGCCTGGCAGTTTTACTTTTATTTGAAGAATTCTTGCAAAGATTGTGAAAAATAATATGTATTAAACAGCTTTGGAAATTTGTTTAATAGTTTAAAGCAAAATCATAAAAGACAATTTTAAGAATGGTCTTGGATGTAAAAAAAAAAAAGATGATGGAGAAATGAGTGCTGGATTAAAGACAGAAAAGACAAAAAAGAAAAAATAATAAAGGGAATTAAAAATATATTGAACGCTACTGAGGAGAATATAGAAAGATTGAGAGATCTCGTATTACTCATATTTTATCACAGGCATGTACGATAATAATGGCAGAGACCAAATGAATGTATTATTGAATAATATGTGAGTATTTTGTTTCTTCACCTCCCCTGCCTATTTACTGGACTGAAGGTGTTGAGACATTTTTTCTTTCTTTTTTTTCCTCCAAGGCGTAAGGTTAAATATTTTATTGATGAAACTATGGATTTAAGGGAATTAGAAACCACAGTGATTCTAAAAATACTGGCCAATGCTGGGAACTAAGGTTCCTGGCTGAAGATGTTTTATTCCTTTATTCCTGGAAGAGGAAATTTTACTAGAGTGACCAATCTTTGCCCTCAAGTTATACGCTAGCCCTAGGCTGAATGGTGCCATGCACGGACACTGGCAAATCACCCACCCCAAGAAAAAAAGAAATTACATTTTAAAGAATGCTATGGTCGTTAGTAGAGGGTAAATCACTGGGCAGTTAGCAGTAGCCATTATTATATTGTAGGTGTGAACAACTGTGTATATTGCTGATACTTAAAAAGGGAAGGCAGGGTACTGCACCAATGGGCACAGTGCAAATTTTAGAAAGTGGGAGGACATCCTGTCAGAAATGGAGGAAAGGCAAGCAGTTAGACGTTGCGGGATGGCAGGGGAGAGGTCCAGGGAGGCGAGATATATCTGGGTGTCATCAGCATACAGGTGTTAGTGGAATCCAAATGAGGCAATAAGTTTGCCGAGAGAGACAGTATAAAGAGAAAATAGAAGGGGACCAAGGACGGATGTACACACATTCAGATACACACAGACACACAGGTACACATACAGGGATGTATGTGTGTGCAGTGTTGGTGTTGGAATGCTAGAATGTATGCATTGCTACATACACACAGATGCACACTTACACAAACTGAGATACACACAGGAACACAGACACACATGCAGTGGTGTATTTGTGTGCAATGTTGTGGATACGCAGGAGTGTAGATGTGTGCAGTGTTATTGTTGGAATGCAGGGTTGTATTTGTGTACAGTATTAGTGCATGTGTGTGCAGCGTTGGCATTGGAAAGCTGGGATGAATGCATTGCCACACGAATAGATACACACTTACACATACTGAAACACACACGCAGGTACACATACACATTAACAGAAGTAAACAGGTATATATTCATACCGATACACATACACACAGATGTACATACACAGACACAAAGCCAGATACACACTGACACAAACACAGCCGGGTACACGCACACAGCCAGGTACACACACACACATACAACCAGATGCGCACACTGATATACACACACAGTCAGATACACACATAGCCAGATACACACACCATAGCCAGGTACACACACACAGCCAGGTACACACACACATACAGCCAGATGCGCACACTGATATGCACATACACACAGTCAGATACACACATAGCCAGATACACACACACAACCAGACACACACACAAACATACACACAGCCAGATACACACACACATATAGCCAGATGCACTGACTCAGACCCAGGTACACACACATATATCAATTTACATCATATTCTAGCCACCCTCCTGTCTCCTTACCTTTTCGGTACAGAAGAGTGGCTTCCCTGCAGTCCAGTGGGAGCTGAATGGCCAAGGCTGATGGGAGTCTGACTTCCTCAGTCCCTCTCCTCCTCCTTTGTATGCCTCCTCCACCTCCCCAGCGGCACTCTGTTACTTGGGAGGAAGTGATCTCACCTCACTTCCTCCCAGCAGGCAACATGAATGGGGCCTGATCCGGAGTAATCTTAAATGGCCGGGGGCCCCTGATTACATCAAGTGTCACAGCCCACAGGGTACTTTGGGCCACCCAAGGAGTAACTGGGCCCAGGGCAGCTGCCTCTTTTGCCCCCTTTTAAAGACAGCCCTGCTTTCAGATATAATTTGTGGAATATTTATTGTTTTCAAATAGGTTATTCACCCTTACTAACGATTAAACTATGCATTTTTCATTGCTTTATTTGGAAGAACAACTATTTCCCTTCTAAAATGAGCCTCTGATACTCACCTATATTTACTGTTGTAGGGGTTTTCAACAAGACCCCCAATATATTGTTGAACCACGACTCCCATGAAATTGTATTTTGTAGTCTGACAGATAATCATTGGAGTTTTTATTACACTAACACCAGTAAAATACCCGAGGGCAATTCGTGATTTTTTGCAGGAACCTGAATGCCTTATAGGCAGCAACCAATAAAGCCTTGAGCTTTTTCTATAAGTGTGGGCCATGTGCAGATCATGCAGAGTGAATTGGGGAAATGACTAAAAGCAACTATCATTCTTACTATATCACAAAGTTTTGTAAAGTAAGTCGATGAACAGCAGGGTTATCTTATCGAGCACAGCGATAAAGTGAACGGAATTGTGTGAAGGGACGTTGTCTTGCCCAACATAGCGTGAAATAAGCTGGTGATGATGCGTGGCAGTTGCATTTGATAGAGGATAAAATAAGTCGGAGATTATGTCTCGAATGACAGAATGTAAAAAAAGAACGGAATGTTATGAATAACTTATGTGAAGCTAAAGGAAAATGTTGATTTAGGGGACTACACACTTAATTGGGTATAATTGCTCTAATTTAGAGAAAATGCAATGCTTTAAATCGGTGGTGCGGGTATTTATTGCGACACATAAAATATCCCATGTTTACACTTCAATTATGTTACAGTTGCCGTAACTTTGTTTTATTTATTTTTAGGGAGAGTTTTAAAGTCAGAGGTTTATGGGATAAAATAAAAGATCCCTAAAAACATATATTTGATCCAGACGTATTAGCAAAAGACCAGTAGAAGAAGTGGATAGAATTATATATGAGTAAACATAAGTCAAAGTATCTCCGTTTTAGACAGTGTTTTATTGATGGACACCTGGAACGTTAAATAAAGCACACTCGCTGTCTACTAATTATGTGCTACAAGGATAAAACCGACTGCCAAGGTGATTCTTGACTTTGCAATAAAGATAGTGAATTAGCAACAGAAAAAAATGATACAAATCATCCATTATAGAAAGGTACAAAACTGAATTTAAAGCGGAAGTATATTTTTTGTTGTTGTCACTATTGCATATACAGTTTGTGAGTTTCTTTAAAATGTAATTTGAAGGTAAGAAATTTGTACGGATTTGTGCTTGAAATACTTGAGAAATACAGGACACAATTCAATGCAACCAAAATCCTAAATAAATGAATAATATATAGAGAGAGCTTTAATACAATAAACCTGCTTTTGTTGCTAAATATTTACAGTGTCCAAATATAAAAAAAAAAAAAAATTTTAAAATCACTATTTTGCATAAATAACCCCAATAAAAACATGCATGCATTTAATTATGCAATATTAATTGCGGATATATCTAAACACAGTTTGTAAAAGCTGCAGATCTCTTGTCCGCAGCCTTTGCAAGCCCCTCCCCATCTTCCGAAGTCCATACTTTTGGTGGTTTGTGGTTGTCCAATCACAGACTTTCCAATGCAGCTAAATGTTGTTTTTATTCACAGATCAAGTGAGACATGAGAAATACCGGGAAAAAGGAGTATCAGTAAAATAAATCTATATTTTTATATTATATTATGTATCAAATATATAATAAATAAGGATAGATTTATTTAACTGCTCCTCCTCGTTTTACCTCTATTGGTTACTTCATGATTACATAGATTGATTCAGGTTTAGTTTTTTCTCTTGAAATTTTCTAAGTTTACATGTATGGCTAAGTCCAACGATGCTTAAAGGACCACTCTAGGCACCCAGACCACTTCAGCTTAATGAAGTGGTCTGGGTGCCTGGTTCAGCTAGGATTAACCCTTTTTTTTTATATAAACATAGCAGTTTCAGAGAAACTGCTATGTTTATAAATGGGTTAATCCAGCCTCTAGTGGCTGTCTCTTGACAGCCGCTAGAGGTGCTTGCGTGCTTCTCACTGTGAAAATCACAGTGAGAAGGTGCAAGCGTCCATAGGAAAGCATTATGAATGCTTTCCTATGAGACTGGCTGAATGCGTGCGCAGCTCCTGCCGCGCATGCGCATTCAGCCTAAGAGGAGGAGAGGAGGCGGAGAGGGAGAGCTCCCCGCCCGGCGCTGGAGAAAGAGGTAAGTTTAACCCCTTCCTCTCCCCAGAGCCCGACGGGAGGGGGCACCCTCAGGGCACTATAGTGCCAGGAAAATGAGTGAGAAAATGAGTGTTTTCCTGGCACTATAGTGGTCCTTTAAGCCGTAATGATGAATGTAGCAGAATCTCACCTTTTCACGAAACAATTGAATTTATATCATGTTTGAAATGGTTTGCTTTATTCAAACTGAGGAATGACATTCCACAGATCATTTTCTGCAGGTTTGTCACCTCTTCCTAGCAAAAGTGAATAACTATATGTCTATAGGGAAATGCCTTTGGCAAAT